AGACTTGCAAGTAGGTCCCGGTCACGTGGTTGCAACTATTCCACTGTCACTGTTCGGCAAAAGCAGCCACAGACAACACATAAATGAATGGATGTGGCTGCATTCCAATAAAACTTTATTTACAAAACCAGGCAGTGGATGGATTTGGCCATAGGCTTTAGTTTGCCAACCACGGATGTCCAGAAACCAAAGCCCTAATCATCATCTTCTACGTCTAAAATAAGTTAGCATTTTTTCCTCTAATGCAGAGAAAAATAAAAATTATTTAATGATAGACGTCTCCCCAGAAAAATCATGTTGATTTTTCAACATCATATGGGTATTTCAGGCAAGGATTTGTTGACTATGCTGCAGTCACATTGGCCGTTCCATTCCTTGAACATGTTCCTACCTCAGGACCTTTGCACATACTGATTCCTCAGCCTGGACGAGCTACCCCCAGACCTATCCACACCTGCCTTCTCCTTGTCCTTCAGCTCTCAAGCAATGACTTTCCCCTGGCCAGTCTAGCTAGGCAAGCCTGGCTCCCCATCGTGCTCTACTGTATCCCTGGCTTTACTTATTTGGGGTGATAAATGCTATCTTTAAATGATTGACCTCTTTGTTTTCCATAGTGAGAAGGAGAGCTCCTTAGAGTCCCCCTGGAACTCTGCCGACACATTGTTAGTTGTTCTGTTTGTTGTCAAGCCCTCATCAGCTCTCACAGGCCTGTGCAAACACACAATGCTCCTTGAAGCAACACCGACCAAACATCTTTGCTCTTTCTTCAACTGTTTACTAAGCACCTAGTATGTACCAGGCACCGTTCCCTACTATCGGGATGCGCTGTGAACACAACTCAAAGGGCCCTGCGCTGAGGGGCTGACATTCTAGCAAGGACGGAGTGGGAGACAGTGAACAACAAATACAAGATGAGGAAATTATACAGAATGGTAGCAAGTTATCAGCACTGAGGCAAACAGGAAAGTCCAGTAGGGGGAGGAGGTGGCCTCACCAAGCAGGTGACATTTGAGCAAAGACTTGAGGGAGGTGAGGGAGTAAGTCACGGGGATCCTGGCGGATGAGCACCTAGGTGACACCATGTGGAAAGGCCAGTGCAACAGCCCTGGGGTGGAGCATGCCTGGGACATGCAAGAAACAGCAAGGAGGCCGATAGGGTTAGAGCAGAGAGGAGGAGGGAGAGAGGGAGACGATGTCAGAGAGGAAAGCAGATCTGATCGCGAAGGGCTCTGCAGGACACCCACCGTGAGGATTTGGGGTGGACTGTGAGTGAAATGGGGAGATACTGGTGTTTGGAACCGAGGAATACAGTGATCTGGCTGCTTTGTGGAAAACAGACAGATAAGAGGGACTAGGGCGGACAAGGGAAAGCAGTGAGAGGACTGAGAACAACCCGGACAAGAGGCGATGGGGACGTGGACCACAGTGGCAGCAGTGGAGGCAATGAGAAGGGGTCGGATCCTGCATAAATCTGGAAAGTAGAGTCACCAGGACTTCCAGCCGGCTTGGATGGGACGGGAGGGAGTGTGAGAGACAGAGGGGAGCCCACGGTGACTCCAGGGTTTCCGACCTCAGCGAGGAAGGAGGCAGCTGCCCTCGAGTGAGTGGGGGAACGCCGGGCTGCAGAGATGCAGATTCTGAGTGGAGAGATTCACACGTTACATGTCAGGTTTCTTAGACGTCCAAATGGAGATTTCGAGTAACCTGTTTCTCGAGTTCAGGACAGAGGTCCAGCCTGGAGACACTTATCTGCGAGCTGTTGTCTTGTAGATCACACCTGAAGCCACGAGACAGATGGGGTCACAAGAGAGTAGAGACCGAGAGGGAGGAAGGCCGGGAACTAGGAGGTGGGGCACAGCAGGGCAAAGAGGCAGGAGGAGCGGAGGAACCTGCGAGGGAGGCGGAGAAGGAGCTTCCAGTGAGATAGGAAGGATGCCAGGAGACCGTGGGATTTCAGAAGCCAAGCAAGGAGGAGGGAGCATCCACTCTGTCAAAGCTGCTGGCAGGTCGAGGACAGGCCCTTGGGCTGAACAATATGGAGGTCAGTGGCACCCTTGAGGAGCAGAGCTGGCGGAGTGGTGCAGGTGAGCTGATTTAAAATAGCGCGAGGAGGGGGACTGGAGACAGCAAGTAAGGACACCATTGAGAAGTTCTGCTGCAAACGGAAGCAAAAAGGAAAAAGGTAGCTGGTAGAGAAAGGGAGCTTAAGAGAAGTTTTGTTTTTCTTTTTCGTTTTGTTTTCTGGGGGGTTTTTTGGTGAGGAAGATCTGCCCTGAGCTAACATCTGTTACCAATCTTCCTCTTTTTTTTGCTGAGGAAGATTAGTCCTGGGCTAACATCTGTACTAATCTTCCTCTATTTTGTATGTGGGATGCCTCCACAGCATGGCTGATGAGTGGAGTAGGCCCGGGATCTGAACTGACGAACCCAGGCCACCAAAGTGGAGTGCGCAGAACTTTAACCACTTGGCCAGGGGGCCGGTCCTTTCTTTTTTGTGTTTTTAATGATAGGAGACATAAGGTCGCATTTTTGCGCCAATGGGAATAATCCAGTAAAGAGTGAAGAATTGATGATGTAGGAGAGAGAGGAGAACGCTGGGGCAGAGTTCTGGAGTCAGAGAGAGCGGGTGAGACCTGGTGCACAAGAGGAGAGCCTGCATTTAGACAGGAGCATCTTTGGGGGGAGGGGCATCAAAATGTGGGAACAGATGCTGACACGTGGGTAGAGAGTGTGAGAGTGTGCAGATATTTTCTTCTGACTCCTTCAATTTTCTCAGTGAAGTAAGAAGCAAGCGGTGAGGATGGGAAAGGAGGTGTTGGAGATGATGAAAGAGAAGCTATGAAGAGTCACTGAGGAGAGCAGGGAAAAAATCAACAGAGAGAAAGCACGATTATGTATCAGCGTGCAGCCTGCGGCTGAGATCTCAGCGTAAAAGATGAGAAGACCTGTCCAGAGGGTTAGTAACTGTCTTGAAGGCATTTGTTCAATTACTCAGAATTTTTTTTTATCAACTTCTCCCAACAAGTACAAATTTAGATACTTCTCAGGGATGTAATGAAACAAATGTTAATATTTGAATCTCAGGAAAAGTGCTTCCCAGGAGACTACAATCATAGCAGTAATTCTGATACTTTATTTCAAGTTGTGAAACACGATCTACAACACGGTAAAATGGTCAGTGGAGAGCTATTACATTTTACCCTAAACCCACATTGGGATTTGCAGTCTTTTGCAAAAGCCTCCCATGTTGTTACCTAAATCCTCAGTTCCCTCTCCTAGGGTGACGAGTAGGGCGAGGAGCCAGGTGCAGTCCAGACCGGGAGCTAAGAGGGCACTTTCCCTCCGTGACACAGAAGGGATGCAGAAACTTGCTGAGAACCGACTTAACGACATCTAATAACAAACCTCCAAAGCAGAACGAGATAGTGGACTAAGGCACCAGCAAAGAGGAGTGTATGCTAGTAGATAAACGGACAACGAATACAGATAAACCCATAAGGTGAGACCTTATTTTGGCTAAAGCTCTTATGTAACGCATTTTCACGTGAAAGGCAACATTTTATGGCTGACAGTCTAATCAACATGAAACAGCTCATTCTCTCTTCCTATCTCGGTTCTGAAAGCCTTAACGTATTAATGAGGCTGACATACACAAGGGGCAGTAGAAATTCATCTGGATTCGGTGAGTTATAAAAATTATTTCATTGAGCCATACGTTGTATGTTTTATTTACTCAATGGAAACAAAACTTGTCATCCATAAAAATATCCCATATGTACCACATAGGTGCTTATTTACAAACACTACCACCAGCAGCCCTGTAAGAACCCACGTTCTTTCAATGACACATGGCAGACCCCTTATGCAGATGCTCTTTAGGTTAAAATGAAATGTTTCTAATCCGAAAGTCATCTAGATCTTTAACCAGTCTTAAAGCAATCTGCACAAACCAATTCAACCAAACCAGAAATCATCAAAGATTCTGCATGCCACTTCAAGTTCAAGCTCGGTTCTACAGACAACTTCTAAACAATTTACACAAAAACACAAATTTCTTGGATGGTTTCACCATTAAAGATGTAAGAGGTTCAAAATACTTTTAAAACTTTGCTCCCCGGACCTCCCACACGCTGCTGGAAGAAACGTGAATTAGTACTTTGGAAAACGGTGTGATCCGATCTGCTAAAGCTGAGCACACAGGAAGCCTCTGAGCCCGCAGTTCCACTCCTGGGTGGACACTCGGAAACGTACAGATACGCTCCGAAAGCCTTGTGTCAAAACGAACCCTTGTAGAAGCGCTTCGTTATATCCCCAATTTGGAAATGAGCAATCACCCGGTGACAGTGGGGGATGAACACACTCACCCACAGAAACACGAAACAGCAATGTAAAGACACAAACTATCACGCGTGCAAGAACATGAATGGACCGCACAAACACAACGCAGAACAAAAAGTAGCCAAACGCAAACTGTGCATAATAAATGATTATATTCACATAAGGCTCAAAAATAGGTGAGACGAATCCGCGCTGTTAGAAATCAAGAGTGTGTCAAGCCTGGGGGGCGGCCGGTGAACCAGGAGGGGCCATAGGGGCATCCGAGCTGGCAATTTTCTCTTTCCTGACCTGGGCGCTGGTTACATGGGTGTGTTCACTCTGTGTCAAGTTATGGAGCCAGGCACTTCTGATCTGGACACTTCTCTGTATATATGTTTCAATAAAAAGTTTTCTGAAAAAAAAATAAGCTGCTCCCAAATTCAGAAAATATCCTTTTAAAAAAAAATGAGCCTAAAAGCAATAACTTAGTTTTTATGTTTACTGTTCTATGAAAATTAATCTTCTACGTAAAAACAGTTGTTTCTATGGAAATATTACCTTACATGAAAGAGAAAAAGAAATATTTAAAGGGTTATACATTTATACTATAAAATGAGAATATAAGTTATCCTTACCTCCATTTTGCAGTTAATAAACAAATAACCTTCTCAATATCAACTTACCTGAGTTGCTTTGCATAGCTGAGTTCAATCTCTGTCCTTTCCTTTACAAATTTGATGTATTTCTCAAGAATATCAATTCCCCACTGTGTGTGTTTTTCTAAGTTGTCAAATTGATCCTGTTAAAAAAAAAAACAGAGACAGTTTATAACCTATCTCTGTGATTAACATAATTTCAGTGAACGACTCTCTCAACAATATATTGCTACGTAGAAAGCAGTTCCAACATTTTCCATGATTGCACTTGGGTGTTTTTTTTGTTGAGCAGTTTTGAATCAACATTACCAAATTTGGTTTGAAAAACCGCCTGGGGGACTGAACTCTGACCCATTTGTTCATGTTCCCTATTCCTATTAGAAACATGGCTTTTGGATATAATTAAGGTCCTAGTACAACAGAAAATGTCTTTTCCAGATACAAAAACAGAGAGGTGAAACGCACACCCACATTAACTCAGCCACACTATCAGCATCTTAACTGTTATCTCGGAGTTATTCAAAACAGCTCAGTGAAATTTGGGGAAAGGAAATGGGAGGGAGAAGAGTTACAAAACATTGCTTTCTTCAAACAAATAAATACAATGACTCACATGGACTTTATCCAAACATCCAAACATATAGCAAGCCTACACTGTGCCAGGAACGGTGCTGGGAACTGGGGAACCCAAAGGAACAGAAATACAGCCCCAACTTGCAGAGCGCCTTGAGGTTCCTCCTGGGGAAGAATGAGAGGGGGTGGGGATTCCAGCAACAGCTAATGCAAAGGCATGGAGACTTCCGGGAGTCAGGGGGACTCGTCCAGCTGGAGCGCAAGGCGGGGGTAGGGGGCAAGGTGGTGGGTGATGAAACTAGAGAAAGACTGGGGACCATCACCCAAGGCCTCGAATGCCCAGCTAAGGAGCTTAGTCTCTCCAGAGGGCACAAGTGACTCACTGAAGGGCTTGCAAGGGGGTGTGGCAGGATGATAGATATCTCTAGAATCACCAAGAGATGCAAGTTAGGAGCTTGTTAAATAAGTCTAGACGAGAGGAAATGGGAGCAGAGGGAAGCATTTCATAGACACTTAACAAGTAGAATCAAGCAGGCTCAGTGACTGACTGGATGAGGAGGCTGGAAAGGGATGCCAAGGACACAGAGGATTCTAGGGTGACTCCCTTCTCCTTCCTGTGACCAGACAGACGGAAGGACAACAGTTTAGGATGAAGTGACACGTCGAACAAGGGAGTGACATGTCCAGAAGAGGGTCAGAAACACAGATCTATTCAGAGCTCAAGGAGGGAGGCCCGTGAGCCAGTGGATCTGAAGCAACAGCCAAGGATGATAATGCCAAAGCCTACTGCAGCTCTGCGGGCCAGGCCCGGAAGGACAGCCCAGCAAGGCTACGGAAAGTGAAGAGAGCTAGCAGGCCATCCCGGGGACGAGAGAACCGAGACGAGGCACAGATGGAAAGTTTGCCCGTGAGAGGTAACAGTGACTGAGGATGAGGGTTCTAGCCCAGCCCTGGGGCTTCACAGAGAAAGGCCACCGAACATCTCAAGGCTTTAGTCATTTGCCTCTAAGATGCAGAAATAATCCCCGCCTAATTTCACAGATCGGTCATGTAAAACGAGAAAGTGCCAAATCAAATATACAAGTACAAAGCCGCAATTTAATCCTCTCAGCATGTGCAACCTAACAGTGACCTTCGGCCTCACCCTCGGCTCACTCTGTAAATCGAGCGTCTTCAGTTTCCATTCAAAGCAGTGCAAACTGTAAACCGAGTAAACTTCGCTCTGTGTAAGTCAGATTTGGGTGGAGTGGGCAGGCAGCAGAGGCAAAAACACTTTTTCTCCACCTTGAGAAACGCTTTTCTGAAGAGAAATAATTTCCCCAACCTAACTCCCACCCTGGCCCATAAAACAGTTTGAGAAACATCAACTTAAGAAGTCAGGGTTTTTATTTTACTAGAATGCTTTTCTCATTAAAAATAATCCCTGCAAAATGTTTGCCTTTATACCTAAGAATTTTTAATATTATCATGAACAATAAGGACAAATATTCAAGGTTTTCATTGATTCTCGGTCCTCAATAATACATTCCACAAACTCCTAGCCTCCACTTCAAGAAACGCAGTACGGGAAGATTGTTTATTTATGTAATCTCTAAAGACAAGGGTTGTCAAGCAAACTAATAGTGGAAACAAGACTGTAGGTCTCTTTAAAGTACTTGAGGAAGCAAATATACAAAGTATTCAAGTAATGATTACAAATCGTTCCTGGCTATTTAGAGCCCGGCTTCCTCAAAGCTTTCTGCTAAAGGTGAGCCTTTGTAAATCTAGTTTCATAGCGATCCTATTTATTCAAACCCCCCCATTAGCGAGCCCTCTCTCTGGATCGTTTCCCAACTTCGGGGCCTCAGCTACCTTCAGCAATTCTAAGTGTTTCCTTGAAAACTTGCAAAGACCATCTGCTCTTAGATGTCACTCTTGTCCTGTTAATAATCTAACTACATATTTTCACCTATTGTATTAGTTTGCCATCCTTTTTAGCCCTAATGTACACAACATAAAGCAACAGCCTTTGATACCAAAACTCTTTTTTTAAAAAAACCTACGTTGGAATTGAGTCCACCTTAAAAATTACTGGCCTCAAACCAACAATATGTTTTCAATAAAGTTATCTGTATTCAAGAACATTATGCAAGCTATTGTAAGGCACTTAGTAAAATAAGGTACAAAGAAGATAGAAGATCTTAATAAAAAAACTTAGCAACAAATAAACTAGTACTCGTTTGGGAATACAGTATAGTTCTTTCGCTGCTATATGCAAACATCTCTGAGGATGCTGCCCTGTGGCCGTCAGGCTGGCCACGGGATAGACTTTCCTGACAGCCGCTAAAAGAAAATTCAAAACAGATGAAAAACTAATCAACCCACTTACATTCTTGACTAAAATGTGGAAAACTTAATGGAAAAAAACTCCAAATCTTGAAAAGACTCCTTTGTGAGCAAATATTCTAAACAGTTCTTTAAAGAAATAGTCTTTGCTACTTTGGGGATGGTGCCATTATCAAAAATGCATCCCCTCCATTACATGTCAATTATACCTCAATAAAAAAAAGAGAGAGAAAGAGAGAAAAAAAAATGCCTCCTTTCTTGTTTGATGTCACATGACAGCGGTTCTGAAGGTGCCTTTGCCCTCTTAGAAATCATTAAGGGCCTCAAAGAGGTTTTGTTTATATGGGTTATAGCTATCAATATTTACTCCATCTGAAATTAAAAACGGAGAGCTTTTAAAAGCATTTACTAATTCATTTAAAAACAATAATAAATCTACTACATGTTAATGTAAATAGCATATGCTTTAAAAATTTTTTTATTAGGTTTAACTATAACCCAGACAATCTCTTTATACATCATCTATTTCATTATTATTATTATTGTTATATATATATTTTTTGGTGAGGAAGATTGTTGCTGAGCTAACATCTGTGCCCATCTTTCTCTATTTTGTATGTGGGACGCTGCCACGGCATGGCCTGATGAGTGGCGTTAGGTCCACACCTGGGATCGGAACCCGTGAACCCTGGGCCACCAAAGTGGAGCATGTGAACTTAACCGCTATGCCACCAGGCCGGCCCCAAATAGCATATTTTTTAACTTTAAGAACTTTCTTTTCCAAGACGAAAAAAAAAAAAAAATAGCGAGAAGAGTGGCGTTGTTTTACGTTTTTGCAAATCTCTTTGATGTCCAGCTTAGTAGAAGACAGCTGTATTCTCGTCAATGCTTCTGTATGTGATCTGGCATGATTCCTTACTCCGGTTGAAGTGTAAGAAAAAATAGGACTTCACACAGATATGTAGTTAGGAACGGAGGAGTATTTCAACAGCCTTTTTAGGTAGTTGTGGATATTCTTATTTGATGTTACACTAAAACTTGACAAAGTCGTTTCTTAATGGCTGGTTGCAATGTGAAATCTGAAACCATAGCAATGAACTTTTCATCCTCAGTTACAATAAAATGCACTGGTCTATCTTGCATTTTGAATGGATCGTTTACCGGCACATGACTGTCTGACATTATGCATGGGTCATTTAGAAAATATTACTTCACTGACACATGCAAATCTTCCAAGTGTTGACACATTTCATAATAAAATATTAAAAAACCACATTTCTTTATATTACTACCTATCTCATCTTATCTGAGGAATCTTTAAATATTTGGAGGCTATCAAGCTGTCACAGTGGCAAATAGAAATTTTCCGAAATTCTAATTTTCACTTAAAAGCTAGAATTCTATCATTGGCAACAAGTATTCTCAGTTGTTTCCTTGAGGTGACAAGCTCACTTCATTCCTTTTTGAGAAAATGTCTGCCAAATGCCCAAGAGTCTGTCTGGCAATGGCTCTTTGAAGTAAAAAATGGTGCCCCATGACAAAAACGGCTAGTTCAGCTCACAACACAATCACTAAAGTATTTTGGTAAGCAATACAGTGCTTTAGGCATGCTGCCCGTCTTGTCACACACGCTATTAAAAAGGTGTCTATTCAAGGGTTGAGATTTAATAAAATTAGTCATCTTTACTGTTTCATCAAGGACATTTTTAGACAAAACTCATTTTCTTAACAGCTGAAGGTGAAGAATACAGTAACGGCCAGTCCCATTTGGAGCCGCTGCCTTGGTTCACGCTAAGGCGCCGGCAGTCTTACCCTCCCTGCTCTTGCACCATCGCTGCAAATGTCCACACACACAGCACAAAAGACGATGTCCTAGGAGCATTGTGAAAATGGTTTTGAGCTTGTGGGCTTCATGAGAGGGTTTCTGGAACTTCCAGAGGTCCAGGGACCACACTTTATGACCCACTACCACATGGCACATACTCTAAAATTTCTGTTTTAAAGTTGCATATTGCCAAAGATTAAGAAAGTCAGATAATATATGACCTAATGGAAAATAATGTTTAATTTATAAGTGCGTGCTATATATACACTCAACAATTAAATGTAAAGTTGCCAAGAGGACTGCAAATGGATGTTTCCAAGTAGCTGGTTACAGCCTGACAGGTACCTTCCAGGAACCCCTGTAACGCCCCTGCTTGACCTAGAATTCAAAACAACCAAAGCTTCATGCCAGGAGCTTTCAGCTGTGAGAGGCTGAGTAAGCCGAGAAGACAATAAGGAAGGTGCGATTGCATTAATCAACATGCAACTGCTGTATTTTACAATCGTTTTTTAGGCCTGGTTTTATGTACTATGCTGCGATTAAGCTCCTTTATGCGCTGAAGACCGAACCAGAACAAGTATGGAGAATGGCATTCGTTTGGGTCATCATGTCTTCATCAGAATTCTTACAGAATCACGAAGTCCAATACCAACAGATTTTGCCTACAGCATAAACCCGTCAGTCGGTGTTATGACTAGTCTCTCTAGGTCAGTAGATAATGATTATTCTTGGCCATTCAGGAAGTCTTCTGAAATCTTGATTTTTTTTTCCAAATTATGCAAAAGAGCTGACACAGGAGCTACAGTCAGAAAAGCTTTTGAGGTGAGAAGATCCAAGTCAGCCACAAGGAAGTTTTTCTGCAAGGAAGAGGTCAACTTTTCACACGGTACTTCCTGTAACTGAGAAGCACACTAAACCAACACTAATCCAAAAACCCCTGGAATCAGCCAATCTAGTCAGAAAGGAAACTGCTACAGTTCCTCTGTGTAAGCGGCTCAGACTCAGAGACAGGGGACCTGAGGCCAGCTCTCCCCCACGATCGAATCCCTCCTCTACAGCAAGTGACCCACTCCGGGGATGGAATTATCCCCTTCACATTCCTGGATCCACTTCCGTGTGTGCTGTCTACACCCCTGTTTTAGGATACTCTAACTTTGGATAAACCCACTTTCCTCAGAACTTGGGCACTTTGAAAAGCAGACCTTAAACGGCTCTTTTTAAACAGAAGCCCTGGGGATGATACTGTCGGTATCGGCTTCCTCTTATCTTCGAGGAGAAAGTGCCAGAAGGTATAGACTTACCCAGAATATAAATGTAACAAAACCTCCATTTAAAATGTTTTAAAAATCAATTTGGGTCTGACTATTAAAGTAGCTGTATATACAGGAACAAAAAAGTTTTAGAAAGCTTTAGAAACAAAAATGTGTCATCACAAATACCACCTAAAATTCTATTTCTCGAACTTTTAACAAAGACTTCAATTGATTTCCAAGGGCAAATTAAGAATTTTTCTCATTAAATTAAAAGCAGAAATATCCAAATATATATTTTCAACATAAACGCATCACACCTTGAAGTGATGAAAAACCATTACCCACAGTGACTTCAGGGTTTACCCACAGAAAGAGTGGCAGCATTAGAGGGTTTATTTCAAGGAGCACAGATACTTTATGTTTTGACGATACAAGCAGATGCAGATTCTGTAAAATTTCGTACTCACTGGCTGTTTCTGAAATGGGTTCTGTGAATTAGGGTGGTGTTCTCCCTCGGTTGAAAATGCCTCCTAAAGCAATAACCTGTCACATAACTGACAAAGGAGGGCCTCTAACATCACAGGGTCGTGGTTGGACAGCCAAGCTACTACAATGGATTTTAACTAGCACACAAGTTTTACTGAACTCAGAATTGCCTTAAAATGAAAGTCTACAACTTGCCATAAAGACAGGTAGAAATTCGGGCACATCTACTGTAGCCAACCACAGTCTAAGTCTGTCTCTATCGGGAAAATGAAAACACTAAGGAATTATTCTATGTTCATGGTTCTTTCCAGCAATTGCATTTTAAACACAAGAAGTAAGAATGTAAACAAACACAAGATGAAAATATATGCATGAGTTAAAAAAAAACCCCAAAGAAAACCTTAAAAAAAAAATCCAACAGCATATGAAGTTAGTGATACAAAGAATGTGGAAAAGGCAAACAGAATATGAAAAGCTGCATTTTCATACTTTTATAACAATAATTATATTGTGCAAAAGGGCAATAAGGAGGCTGACGTTGGCTGTGCAACAAATGGAAGGACACAGAAAGGAGGAGACTTGGGTGATGGATGCTGGGATGTCCTACGCCAAATGTGATGCCATGTTACATTGCATCCTGAAAAGAAAAGAGAGGGTAGAAAATATAACTTGCAGAAAACGCACCAGAATTTAGACTATACTGCCGTCTGAGCAGATGAGACCTGGAGGGGAAATTGCTACAGAATGTATTCCTTTAAGAAGCCGCAATAAGCTTCTGGCCTATTGCAAGGTTCTTAGAACACCTTAGTCAGTTTCAGTTCCCCTCTCGGTTCCTTTGGATACAGTACAAGCAATCAACAAACAAAAACAAACATCTGTAACTGCCCCAAACAGGCTGAGTGACAGAGATCACCAAGAATAAGATTTTCAAGGAAAAAACATTTTAAAGAGCTTACGTTTTTTCATTAAAAAAGAAATCCTACTAATTTTTAAAGCAATCTTAAAAATTACTCCACCAGATAGGCATTGTCAAATACCTTACATAGAAGAGGAAAAGTATTAAGGATGATGAAGTTAGAAAAACTGGGTTCAGAAAGCTGGGTCTAACTTGTAATTGTGGAGGGCTGAATCAACGCTAATGAAAAACAGAAATAGTCACAGAAAGCAAAATCTTGCTCTTTGTAAGGAAAAACACTCTGTCTCATGGTGACAGAAGGCAAGGGGGCTTAGTTAAGCTGTGATTGTGAGATGAACATCTTTAACACAAATGTCCGGTATCATTAGTGTTTGGTTTCGACCTGGAAATGGGATCTACTCATTCATCTGCTGGTTTCTGTGCAGCAGCTTGGACAAGGAAGCCTGAGTATGAACTGGTTTCGGTACTGAGCCTGCTCAGGCAGCAGACGCACAAGTTCAGTCCCCTCTCCCTCCCCCAGCTGTCCTGTGTTCCTTTAAGCTCCGGGGAACCAACGGTACCTCAAACATCCCCATTGTTATCCGCAGGTGATTCTCTCCTCCAGGAAATAAGTTCAAGACCAACCCAAGGGCAGAAGAAAGGAGGGAGAGGGAGAGAGGAGGCCGCTACACTCTAAATACCAGGAAGAACTTTGAAGGCAACACAAAGACTAAAGAAGAGCAAAGAATACAAGCTAAATTTTTAATGAGAAGAAAAAGCCAGATTTTTAAAGTCCTGGCTTATTTCTAAACTCCATAAATATTTCCAGGGGTGTGTGTGTGGCGGGGGGGGGGGGGGTGCAAAATATTACAAAAATGTCATAGGAAAAAAGTTTTCTTAAAGCCCTGGCACCTGAAACTTAGTTAACACCAATGAAAGGGAGTTTCCAAAGACTTAGCAGTTAACTAACCTCCAATTTTAAGAAGGTTAAGCAAACACGTAGGTGTTGTCCCTTTTTAAGGCATGGGATCCCAACGCTCAACCCACTGCCACCGTTGAACATCTGACCCAAGGAACCCACAAGACAGGGTGGATCGGACCAATCAGAAACTCTCTGGGAACAGGTGTTGGAGCTAAGAGGTGAAAACTGTCCCTGTGCACGCCAAATGAGAGAGAAAACACCAGTCTGCAGAGACGAAGAACAAAGCAGAGATGTCAGACAACATTATGCAGAGCATTCCAAATGGTTGTACCTGTGAGCTTTCCACCGGCTGATTTCAAGTCCTCTGTGAGACTAGTCTGTTCTTCCAGCCCCTGGTTCTGTAAGATATCCCTTGGGACAGACACTGTTGGCTGACAAACCAGCAGCTATTTCCTACCCATTCTTGGGTTGAGCACCTCTCCTACTGCAAGATCCCCCTTGCAGCTACGACATAGACATGCGACATCACCCTGGCCAACCAGATGTACGGGATATCTACGGGTGGCTACTGAGAAAGGTTATCCTCCTCAATAAACTCCTCCTCTTCTTTACTTGACATGGTCAAAGCTGCCTGTGATGCTTGGAGTTGCTGCAACCATCTTGTCACCATGAGGAGGAAGCATCACAGATGCACTGGGAATGGCAGAAATGCAAGATGGAAAGCACCTGGATCTTTGATGAAATTACTGAACCTCGACACTAGTCCCGGAAACTCCCTGCCTCTGGACTCCTTGAGAGGTGAGAAAAAATGTGTCCTTATTGTCTAAGCCACTTTTCTTTGGGTCTTTTGTTACTTGCAGTTTAACCCATACACCCATGTCTCTTTCCAATAAGTTGCAATACATCAACCATTTCTTACTGAGAAATGACGGTGAGCATTTGCCGACTAATACAATCCTTCTTTCTAAGACTTCTTTGTGGCTTACAGGCTGTGTTTTTAAATTATTTAATGAGTTTTAGGGATACACTTTATGATTCTGAAGAGTTTTTTGCTACACATGGCCCCATAGTCCATTAAAGAAGAGACACCTCATTTTTGAGATAAATCAAAAGCCTTATTGATCAATCTTTTCTTCTACGTAGACCAATAAGCCAGACCTAGCAGAAGTTTTAAATGCCATCTTGCCAAACATTCCTAAGCAGGAGAGGATAATGGAAGAGCTTTGGACCTGGGTTCAAATTCTGACGTCAGTAGTTACACGTCCTGTTACTTCGGGCAAGATTCTTTCTCTATTAAGCCTCGGTTTCCTTATCTGTAAAAAGGGCAGACAGTCTCCCCCTACTCAAAACAGGTTCTTAGAAAATCAAAGGACATAAGGTATGTAAATACGATAAATGTAAGATTTTGTTATTTGTCCTCTTAATATTATAAGATATAATTTATTTTAGTTCTGCATTCCAAAACCAGTTGACATCTTGGCATTGACATTCTCGGAGGAGGAATGAAGATGAGAGACTACGCTTTACAGGAAGGAATAATCAGATACAAAGACCGGCTTTTAAAATAATTTATTGAGCTAAACGCTAGGAGAAGAGCCATTACGACCATTGGACATTAAGGCAGGTCCACAGTCTCCTCCAAATCCAAAATCAAAAAATTCCTGAAAGCCAAAAGGTTTTTCTTAACTCACCTAGTGACAAACCTCACCCGAGCCTGATTATAACCTCCACTCATCACACGTGCTCATACCTTTCATTCCCCACCGTTTTGGATAACGGATTGTGGACCTAATTTTGGGAAACGAGTTGCTCAATAAGACAAGACCGGAAAAATAAAAAGTATAAGGATTGTTAAGGAAGAAATAAAACTGTCATTATTCACAGATGATATGACTAACTATGTAGCACAGACAGAAGAGTCCGCTGATCAATTATTATAATTAAGAGTTTAACATGATGGCTGGCTATAAGATCAACAGAGAGAACCCAATTGCTTTTCTGGACATCAGCAATGAATACAACAGGAAATTTTAGAAACAATATCATAAAAAATTGCCACTAGACAGAAATAAACTTAACAAAAGATGCGCCAGACCGTCACGGAGAAAATGATAAAACATTATTAAAAGACATTAAAGAAAGCCAGAAGAAGTGGAGAGATATGAACCACATTCCTGGATTGCAAGGCTATATTGTAAATATATCAGTTCTCCCCCAAATTATCTACAGATTCGACGCAGTTCCGATTAAAATCCCAACAGGTTTTTGGAGAACATAATGCAAAGGTTTAAATGGGGTTGCAAAGGTCAACCAATAGTCAAACACTCCCGAAGAAGAACAAGCTGGGGGGACCGCCACGCTGCATGTGGACACATTATAAAGTTAGTTAAGGGCTGTGCGGTATTGGCCAGGGATAGAAAAATAGGCAAATGTGAAGAACAGAAAGGCCAGGAACAGGCCCAGGGAAAAGAAAAAAAAAAAAAAAGAAAGAAAAGAAAAAAGTTGTACAGAAAAGATGAGAGCCTAATGCCTAAGGGCCTGGGGTCTGGAGCTAGAAAAAATTGGTTTGAATTCTCGCTCTTTAACATGCCAGCTATGTCACATGAAGCAGGTTACTTAACCTCTCTGTGTTTCTGTTTCTCATCTAAAAAATGGAGATAACAGCAGGATCTATTTGTAGGGTGACTACCAGGATTAAACAAGTTATCCCATGCTTAGAACACGGCTTGGCATATAGTAAGCTCTCAGGAAGTGTTAATGCCATCATCACCATCATCACCATCATCACCATCCAATGAGGAAAGAACGGGCTGTTTAATCAAAGGTGCTGGGATGACTGTGCATCTATGGGAAAAAATAAAATCCAACCTCAATTTCTTACAATGTATAAAAACTAATTCCAAGTAGGTTAAGGACCTAACTATAAAAGGCCAGCCTAGAAAACTTTCAGGAGACAATAGAAGAGAAGATCTTTCTGACCTTGAGGTAGGAAAGGACTTTTAAATAAGACACAAAAAAGCATGCACCATAAAGAAAAAAAATTGATGAACTTGACTACACGAAAACTGAAAGCTTCTGTTTATGAAAAGATCCCATGAGGAACGTAAAACAATAAAAGACAAACTGGGAGGAGGTATTTGTAACACACATGATCGAGAAAGGATCAGTGCTGGGGCGGCCCTGGGGCCGAGTGGTTAAGTTTTTGTGCTCCGCTTCAGCGGCCCAGGGTTTCGCTGGTTCGGATCCTGGGTGTGGACATGGCACCGCTCGTCAGGCCACGCTGAGGTGGGGTCCCACATGCCACAACTAGAAGGACCCACAACTAAAATATACAACTATGTACTGGGGGGATTTGGGGAGAAAAAGCAGAAAAAAAAAAAGTTGGCAACAGTTGTTAGCTCAGGTGCCAATCTTTAAAAAAAGAAAGAAAGAAAGAAAGGATCAGTGTCTGGAATATAGAAAGAACTCCTTCAAATAGATTTTCTTAAAAAGATGATGTAATCCAATAGGAAAAGGGGCAAAAATAATAAGAATTTTAAGCATAAAATGATATTTAGCCTTATTAGTAATCAAGATAATGCATATTAAAACTACAATGAGATGTCATTGTACAATGAAATGAGACCCACCAGCCTGGCAAAAATTTAAAGTCAGAAAACACCCAGGATTAACAAGGATTTGTTGCAACAGGACGGCTCACACACTGCTGGGGACCTTAAACACGGATTGGCTTTATCTAGTAAAGGTGAATTTGTGCCCCCTGCGATGCAGCAATTCCTCTGCTGGACATACAGCTTAAGGTCTTGGACCTAGACAATAAACTCTTGGTCATGTGAACCAAGAGACATGCACGGAAATGTGTACAGCAGCATAATTCATAGCCACAAAATACCAAAAACAACCCGTCTGTCCATCTGATTCCATTTATATCAATCCCCAAAACAGGCAAAACTAAACAATGAGGTAGCACTGGTTTACAACACTATATAAATTCCAGGAGTACATCATAGTATTTCAACTTCTGTATAGATTCCTAAGCAACGTATAGTCTACTGATACATTTAGAAGTGATGAAAAACTACAAAGAAAAACAAAAGAATATTTTTTGATTCAGAATTCTGGATAACACTCAATTAGCTTGGGGAGCATGAAGAGGGAATGTGATCGCAAAGGGGCCACAGGGAGCTTCCGGGGCAGAGCGATGCTCTATTTCTTTACTGGGTGAAATGTTCGTGAGTGTTCCCTTTACTGCTACTTTTGTATACATCATTCTATACATACACATTTTCATACATTCTTTTGTAATATTCCATAATTAACATTTAATTGTTAGTTTACAGTTGGGTTGATGGGAAAAATCTTCAGTATTAGAGAAACTTAAGGTCCTTTGAACCTCTGCCAACTGGAGATCAAAAACGAAGTTAAAACATTTATGAAAGAAAAGAAAGAAATCAATAGAAAAATCTATTGCATAAAGTATTGAACTATTACTTTTTCCTTAATGGATGCACTTCCTATTTTATTCCCATAAAAAAATATAAAATCTTCTTCAGAAAATGGGCATCCTTTAATACCCAAGTATGGATTTATTATTGATTGCAAAAAAGACTTCACACTTTGGGGGGAAAAAACTTAAAAAAAAAAAAATCCAGGACTCTTACTGTCTAAAAGCTAAAAATATTTTCACATACCACTACAGGACTATAATAGATAATTTCCCTCAAATAAAATGTTTACAAAGGTTAAGAAAACATATATTATAGTAAGCAACATATGTTGTGTTTCTCCTCTAAGCCCAAATCACACTCATCCATTCATTCATGCAACAATGTTTTACTGGGCACCTACCATGTGTCAAACACTGTTCTAGGAACTGAGGACATAGAACAAACAGAAGACGTAAATTCTCTACTCCCACAGAGCTTATATTCTAGGAGATCTTTACTGTACAAAGCTATAAAGAAATTTCAGAAAGGTTAATTCAGCTGACAGTCCCATGAGAAGAACCACTAGGTGCCTGGAGAGGAACGCTGTAAAGCCCATTCACGCCTATTAGCAGGGGTGACAGTCAAGATATTTAACAACCAATCACCAGCAGACTCCCCATCCAATCAGAAGAGAGGCCAGCTGTGCTGAGGCATCCTGGCCGAAAACCAGCCTTGCCTGTGCCCAAGTCTTTTCCAGAAAAGGTGAACCAATTACATATCCACCAACAGAGTCCAAGGATCCTTCTCTTACTGAACCCTGATAAGATCTGAATATTACTGATTGTAAAACGAAAAACAAATGAAAAAAAAGAAGAAGAAAGCTTTATTTATTTGGTAAGCAAATTGCTGTATTATGCACTTCTTTGATTATTCCTGAAATTAACCCTTTTATACATGTTCATTAGCCTTTGGAATTTCCTCTTGTAACTGGTCTCTTCTTAATCTTGACTCATTTATCTATTAGAAACTTTGTATTTATCTTATTGTTTTGCATATAAGCTCTTTATATATTAAGGTTTAACTCTGCCGTATTTGGTATAAATGTTTTTCCTAGTTTGTCTGACTTGGAATTTGTATGTATATTTTGACACACAGACATAAAAATGTATGGTTACCCCAGGGGGTTAGAAACTATAAGGGTTCCCCCACTATTTTACATTTCTCTGTATG